CCGTGGTGCCCGGAGAGGGGCCCGGGGTGCCCGCGATGCGCGGTGCGGGGCTCTCGGGGTGCCCGCGATGCCCGGAGAGGGGCCCGGGGTGCCCGCGATGCCCAGCCCGGGTGGGAGGCGGCTCTCGTCCCCGTTAGAGGAGGCGGCGGGCTCAGAAGGGAGGAGGCGAGTTAGGTCGGCTCCGGGCCTCGAACCTCCGTCGCGTGTGCTGCACCCCAGCTTTGAGCCGCGACAAAGGCATCGGGGAGGTGAGCCCAGGAAGCCTGCGGCGCCCGACACCCGCGGGCACTGGCCCGACGCCGGCCTCCGCTGCCAGCTTCCCACGACGCTAAGTGCGCACGCGCGGAGGCGGCTGCTCACGTGACGGGATCCTCACGTGACCGCCGGCCCTGGCTCGCCTGCTCCTGGCGGCCGGAGAGGAGGACCGACGGCGCCCTGGTCCGCGCTCGTGTCCGCCCTCCCGGGGTCGCTGCCCCGAGCACGTGTGCGCCTGGACTCTGTGCTCAGGCCCAAGGTTGACAGTAGCCGTCGGGATCCTGTAATCTCTCAATACTGTTGAGAAGAAAATGATGCCCTCCGGAGAATGTCCGGACCTGTGCAATGGCTGTGCTCCCTGAGGGAAGAGGGTTGACCCCTAATCATCAGAAGCAGGGTCCCTCCATTGCCTGGTGTTCTCCCCGACTCCATTGGCATCGCTGAAAACGTAAGCAAGAGCTTTAAAGTCAGCCTTGTGAGGACTGAAGGGGTGCCTGTGGCCCTGCTGCTCTGAGGCCATTACGAGCACCGCAGGGTGTCTGAACAGCGTCTGACCCAAATCTGCAGACTCTCTTGACCACCTGATAGGAGCTATCTCCTTAGTGGGGACTGAACTGTGCCCGCAAAGCCTAAATGTTGTTTTTGATTGCCCTCGACTTAAGCCCGACTCATAGCGACCCTGTGAACAAAAGACCTGAATGAACCCTGTTCTACGACTATCATCCTTTCTCCAAGTTCATAGTTTCCAGAGGCATGTTATTTAGGTAATGGGTGCCATTTCTGCTTCCAAACCTGCCTTAATCTGTGAACTCCACCAAACATTGTCCACCATGAGTAACCATTATGACATTTGACACACCAGTAGTAGAGTTCAGCATCACGGCAACCCCAGGTTTCATTTATACAGCAAATTGACTAGTGCTGTACCACTTAGAAGAAATGTTCCTCCAAAATACAATAACACTGGACGTGAGGGCCGCAGACCACTGGGCCCAACCGACTTCTAAATACAAAAGCCCTCCAGGTCCTGTTGACTTTAAAGAAGAGGCTTAAATAAAAGACAATCAACTAAACATTATACAACTTATAATTTCGTTATGTGTCATCAGTTGCCTGTGACCCATAGCAACTCTATGTACAGCAGCTCTGAACCCTTCCCTATCCTGATCCAGTCTCACTAAATCCGACACATCAACCCTCATTGCCCCAGTTACTTTATTAATCCATGTCATCCAGGGTCTTCATCTCCTGCGCTGTCCCTCTACCCTTCTGAACATAACGTCCTTCTCCAAGAACTGGTCTCTCCTGGCCCCGTGCCCAAAGTATGTGGGACAGAGCTTCAAAATCCTAGCCTCCAAGGAGAAACTTGGTTTCACTCTTTTCAAGACAGACCTATTTTGTTTTCTTGGCGGTCCATGGTATGTTCAAGACTCTTCTCCAGCACCACAACTCAAAGGCTTCTGTTATCCTTAGTCATTGTCCAGCTCTCTGAAGCATAACAAGTAATTGCAAAGACCATGGCCTGGATTAGGCGCACCTTAGTATCTAGACTGATAATATTGCTTTTCAACACTCTGGGAGGTCCCTGATCCATATATCTGCAGTTATAACCCCATTTGGAAACAGATTTGTTAAACTAATGATGTGGTTTTAATGAGGAGTGTGCTGTCTGAGATGTGAAACAACTTTTGCAAACATCCAAGGTAGTTGGTGGAGATGGAGGAACTAGGGGATTTAGCATACAAAGGTCTGAGGAACAGAAGCTAAAAAGGGACAATGCTTTTTCCCTGAAGCTGGCAGTGAACCTCCCAGAGAATCAGTGCCCTGAATTCAGACATCTCCCAAAACTGTGAACAAGTCTATGTTCACGGGGGCTATTTCTATTCTGGGCTCTAGAGAACTGCATACTCCTCGCTGATTCAGAAAATCTTTCTGAAGGACTTATGTCCAGAATGTTCTTTGGGAACAGTTAGTTCCTATCTTGAAAAGCACAGTCATCCTTTTGGATTTCTGCATGACAGCAGCCTCAACCTACAGGTAATTTTGTGTAACTTAGGCATTTCAACAATGGGAAGACCACTTTCAATCCTTTCCCAAATTTTCACACACACTCTGCTTCACAGAACAGTCACCACACGACACCCCTGGGGACAGGGCACTTGGAAGCTGTAAAGCCTGTTTTTTTATTTAGTCTGCTTACTTTTCAAAACTGAATTGAGAGATTTCTCTCAGTTAAGATGTGGGAGGAGGAGAAGCAGCAGGTAACTGCCTAGTGTTCCTGCTGCCCCTGCCCTGGGTTTCCTTGTCTTGGAGGCCACCAACAGGTGTCACTGGAAGGCTCCAGAGGTCCCTGGCTCAACTGTCTCTTGCTCCAGCAAGCTTTCTCCCTCCAGTACTATTGGGCTGTACAGTGTGCACTGGGCCTTGGGAATCTGCTCGTGTTATCCCAACCCTGTCCCTGTTTCCATGAAAGGGCACATGACAGCACCTGCAGCAGTTGGTTCCATGGTGTAATTGTTACCACTCTGGACTCTGAATCCAGTAAGCCGAGTTCCTGAAGCTGGAGGCAGCCCCTGACGGGGATTCTGACACTGGTCCTGCGAGGTCCTGGAAACCAGTGTACGTGCAAACCTCGTCCCTGCTTGCTGGGCCTGAGAGGCTGAGGCGTGCACCCTCGGACTCCCCGGCTCTCAGAGATCCCGTGGCTGCACTCAGGTGTCTCAGTGCTCGGCCGTTGCTGGTCTGTCCCTACTGCACCTCGTCCCAGCCATGCATGGGCTGAAATGGGTTTATTCTGAGACTCATGATCTTAGTACAGAACCCATCAGGCGGATAGTCTCCATGGGTGTTCCACTCCCCAAAAGACTACCTGTCTGAGTGATTAACACCTGTCATTTAAAAAAAATGTAAAGGTTGTATCTGCATTTCAGTTCAAACGAGGACTCCATAGTTCTCAAGTCTACATGGCCCCCTGGCCCTGCTTTCTGAAGGACACTGGACAAAAGTGACAGCCAGCTGGGCTACCTGCTGTCTAGAGCTGACCCTGTGCCAAGCAGCCCCAAGTAGGGAGTGGGCATTTGCTGAGCATCAGGCAAGCCGCAGGAGGGAGACACCCTCAACATCTACTGAGGCTGGAGGTGCTCACTTCCCGCCCTGGCCAGAACCAAACCTTGAGTTATCGACTACAGGGCGAACGCAGAGGTCTGCGATGGCGGGGACTGGCCACTGAGGCTGGGCAGAAATGGAGCTGAGGCATCTGGGCTGGAGCAGGCAGCTAGTGTCCACTGAGATGGACAGTATATTCACAAGCAGGCTCAGGAGGCCCCTGGGCACACCCAGCCAGAACCCAATACCTGTGCAGCGTGGGCAGATGCCCCTGGACACACACTGGCCAGAAGCCAGGCCTGTGCAGCATGAATAGAGGCCCCAGTGCCCTCTGCCGTCATCACTGGCCTTGGTCCATGCCAGGATGAGCAAACTGCTTCTCTCTTAGGCAGAGGGCCAGCTCATGGATGCCACTGCCAAAGCTAGCTGCACTGTAGCTTGAGGTGGGCAGCCTGGGAAGGGATGCCGGTCAGGCCTTGGATTCTCCTTGGCCCCCACATGTGAGCACAGGCTGGCCTGCTGGACAGTTTGGAGGGCTCTGCACACATGTGTTCTCCAAGCGTTTATTCCATAATCAGTTATTCAAGAGATGAAATCCCATCATGTATAGATTGAAAGCAAAAATATACAATTTAACACAATCCACCCACTTATTCACGCAGACAGATCTGCAGGTACAAAGCGAGGCAGGACAATGGTGCCACTGCTGGGGCTGCACGTACCCCACGGGACTGGCAGGCCTCCCTGCAGGGCACACCTGGCCATGACTCGACACTGGAGGTGGCCAGCAGCTCAGCAGCCTTTGACAGTGTGGGAACAACTGTGTGTGGGATGCCTGTCCCCCATTTTTCCTCCTCCTGCGCCAGCTCACACCGGTGGTGTCTGGAGCCAAGGGACCAATAAGACACGACACAAAGGGATCTGACCTCAGAGCTGGACAAAGCCTTAGAGCCTGCTGTCTCTCAAACTCATGTGACACCCAGTCAAGAGGTCCTCCAGTCCCCTTGGTCACTGGACACCCTGCGTAGCATTGCCACCGCCTTATGGGAGCTCAGGGTAAGAAATGACTGACGAGCCAGGGCTCAGGCCCACGTGACAAGTGGCCATGGGAACAGGCTCGGGCCGCAGGGGCCTCCCACTGCCACCAGGGTTCAGGCTTAGCTGTGTACAAAGCCCCCGATTCCCAAACGCTGACCACCTGTTTATTTTCTAAGCCAAAATACCCAACAGGGGGCCGCCATCAATGGGAAATGAGGAGGTACTCCAGGGACTTGCACCAGTGACCCCTTGGTCTGCTCTGTCCCTGCGTGGAGGACCCCCAAGGTGTGTGACACCGCACCTCCTAAGGCTGCGGGGCCATTCCTCCGCCTCCCTCTTTCCTCTGAGATCCTCCTCTCAGGCCAGTGGACACTTGCTATGGGGACGCCTTCTCTCCCGTTAACACATGCCCAGACATGAGGACACCACCACATGAAACTGAGAGTGAGCCTCAAATAAATAGGGGAGCAGAGCTGGGGATGGGGTGAGCAGGGGCTGCTGTGCGCTCTCAGCGTGTCTGCAGTGGTTCTGTCCCAGTGGCTCCATGGCCCCAGCTGCACAGACCACCGGCCCGAAGGCAGCTGGACAGCCGCCGGTCACAGCTACCACTTGATGTCCAGGCTGTTCACAGGCGGCCCGCTACTGGGGAACGAGGTGTGCAGCGCGGTCTGCACGCTGGGGGCACTGGCCCCATGCAGCCACTCCTGGTACAGCAGCTGGACATGCCGGCTGCTCTCAGGGGGCCGCACGGGCAGCTCCGCGTAGATGCCCTCCATCTGCCGCAGCAGCGCCTTGTCCACGTGGCCATCCTCTGCCCGGGCCTGGCCCCTGCCATGCAGGCACCCTGAAACAAGAGGTGAGAGGGGGTCAGCAGGCCTCTCCGTGAGGGAGAGGCCAGGGAGAAGTCCTGCCCTAGGGTCACCTCAGGCTGCCAGGCACTGGCCGCTGTCGTCTAGCTTTACCAAAATGTAGGTGGGCTCTATCTGCCTTTGCTGCCGCCGTGGCACCTGTGAAAAATCCCGTGGTGAAGGGGAAACAAAAGAAGCAGCAGGTCCTGAGGTTCACCCTTGACTGTAGCCATCCGCCAGAAGATGGGATCATGGAGCTGCTCATTTTGAGCAGTTTCTTCAAGAGAGAATCAAGGTCAATGGAAAAGCTGGTGCTCTCGGAGGAGGGGCTGTAACCATCGAAAGAAGCAAGAGCAAGATAACTGTAACCTCCGAGGTGCCTTTTTCCAAACAGGATTTGAAGTATCTCACCAAAAAATATTTGAAAAAGAATCATCTACGTGATTAGTTGTGCATAGTTGCTAACAGCAAAGTTATGAATGACGTCACTTCCACTTAGCCAGGATGAAGAGGAAGAAGATGAGGGTTAAAACATTTATCTTGACTATTTTGTATAAGCCCTTGAATAAAACATTGGAAACAAACAAAAGTAGGTGGGTCAGCCTGTCCTCAGGAGGAAGGGTGGACGCAGGGAAGACTCATGCCGCGCTACACGGAGAAAACCCTCCTCCCCAGCCACACCTAAGGGGTCCCAACCCGCTTCCGACCTGGAACCACCAGAGCCCGGCTCACAGGTGTTCACAGCGAGGTTTCATCTGCCTCCTGGGCCTGCCCCACAGTGGCACCGCAGCTGGCCTCCTCACTCCCACCTGCTCACCCCTCCTCCTCCAGCGACCCCAGTGCTGAGGTCTCAGCTTGTCCTCATCCTCCACTGGCCTCTTTGTTCTAGACCTTCACTCGCAGGCAGGGGACCTACCGACTCTCCCTCACCTGCTGCTGCACAGTGACCACCTGTCCTGGGAGCAGAAGCCCACTCTCAGCCTAGCAGGGGCCTCTGTGTGCCCTGAGGTCACAGGTACTCTGAGCCTCCCTGCCTGACCCCGCCAACCTGCAGAGAACAGGGGTGCTCCAGAGCACAAGGCAGCCACATCCTGTCACAGCCCCCTTTCTCCCAAGGACCCTCTTGTCACTTAGTCCAGGAACCAGCTCCCCTCGACCCTCCAATGAGAGGCTCTCTCAACACTCCTGCTGGGACCCCCACCCCCTCCTGGAACCTTCAGGCCACAATCTGCTGTGCTTCTCAGCATAGCAGACAGAGGCAGGCCTGCAGCTTCCACCCCAGCTTCCTGTCCTCCAGGCCAGCTGCACCAAACACTCTGTCCATGAGGGAGTGACAAGCATGACCAGGAGGGAATCCCAGGTACACACGTGA